CTTCGCTGGTTACTACTTACTTTCAATGTTTATTGTTGTGAAAGTTCCATAAGTCGTTGCTCAATTATAAAAAAACAAGAGCACCATGAGAAATTAAACTTACCTCTTTGCTGCCACTTGCGAATGAATGTCCAACTGTTGCAGAACCTCCGTTAGAATCTCAACAGGCAAATCGAGCAGTGGTTCCTCTACCCCTACAAAAATGAGCGCGCCATCATACAATATAAGCGGGAGAGCATTTAAGCAACTATAAAGTCGCTCTCGAACAAAAGCAAAGACTGGTTAAGAATGAGCTTGTACCAGCATTAGCAAATTGGAGCTAGTTGGTCAACATTATGCAGAACAGAAATTTTTGTTTTAACTCGTTCGCTGATTACTTTACAACCTAATAATACTGCATAGGCGGTATTAGGCACGATAACAGTTTTTAGACGCCGGCCATCACAAAACATACAGCTACTATGTGACTGACCAAGTTTTTCTAAGTGCGTTTTTGCTAACCAGTTCACAGAGGTTTTTCTGCTGAACATGTCCGATCAACACCGTAAGCGAACGCTTTGGCTGTGCAAAACAGTCTTACTTGATGGCAACTCATAAGAGTTGCGCCTGCGCAATTCCGGTCCGTAGTTGTACGGCAACATCATCATGCCCGCTGACAGTTTTTTGTCGGTATTGTCATGCCAACACCCGCGTACATTGCAGGGACGATCCCAAATATGCCAATTTCCACCAACACCATGGCCCCCAAGTACTGCCATTATCACAAAGGTGGCAGACTCTCCGGTAACACGGACAAAAAACTGATCACTCCCCGCAAAGTTATATTTCTGTAGTGGTTAAAAACAAAGTTGTGGTTATTTTGCCGCAATGTGACGCTAAGAGATTGCCACACACAGTGGTAAAATGGCCAATAACGATGTGGTTAATTTGCCCAGAATGCGTGGCACTGATAAGCATGTTGTTGCACCTCATGATGCAGTAACCAGTACATTAATTAAAATAATTAAAACAGGTAAGGAGACAATAATTGACATATATAAGAAAAATTTAAAACTAAGACTATGCGACTAATTTTTGTGTATTGAATCCACTAAGCTGACAAACAAGACCAATCTTCTTTCCTAGTGCCATTCGATACCAATGAGTCAACAGATGCAAGTTTTACAGACAATATAGTTTACAGTAAACTGACGAGAAAAAAATTAGTTTTGAGATTAATTCGGCAATCATAGCATGGTCAACAATTCACAGGCAATTCAAAAACTAGTTTACTGTGTAAGTAAATTGAATAACTGGCGGCTACTGGCACAAAGCGCAGTTTGCGCGGACTCTGCTTAGCGAATGTTTACTCGTAATATTGTCCATAAAAAAACACTAACAAACCACGAACTTTTTTACGGTAACCTTTTATTCCTAAATTCTAAACTGTTCCTACACAAAACAAAACTTAATAGCCATGCTGCTAGTGCATACCAGCTCCTTGTCTCGAAACGCGATATCAAAAAGGCTGATGATTTGGAGTTCATCCATGTTCCTCAATAGATCAGCTTTTTCCGTCTGGATAACAACTTTCGCGATGGGAAGTTCGTTTATGTTTCTAGGGAAACGAAACGGTGTGGGATGTAGCGGCAGTTGGTTAACAACTTGCCGGGAATGCACAATCTGAAACTCTGACGAATTGGTGCATTTCAGGGTTATGCAGCACAGGAACAAGGCCTCATATGAGCAGGCGTTAAGAAGCATCGCTGGCCGGAAGATATACGGACCGGTGCTCTCTTCGCGGAGTGCTACGAAGACGTCTTGTGGCAGGCATTTCTCCATCCGCACTTCCGATGGTACATAAACCCACTCTGCCGACATCCAGCGAGGTGGTACTGTGGAGCAATTGAAATCGATAAACACCCTGTCGCCATCAATGTCCTGCAGCCAGCCAAGGTAGTACTGATCCATACTTCCATCAATGTGAACCATCACCAAGTTATTAAAATTCAGCTGACCATTGCGCATGCAGCAAGAAAAGTACGAACAGGCCATTTTGCAGTGAGTCAGTGGCAAGAAAATGATGCACGCCGAATCACGTAAATTACACTATCGTAACTCAATTTCTGCTGTCTAGAAAAGAAATATCTTTACTGTATCGTATTTCGTGCGTTTACAAAAGTTGAAACATGTAAAGTATTACAAGGTGAGCACACGGTTTCTTTTTGCTCAGAGTTCCGTCTGTGCAACCGGTGTAAGTTTACGGGGTCACACACGCTGCAACATATTTGACTGGTCAGAATCATGTTGAAAGAAGAGGTCACAGTCATTCCCTCTGTGATAGACGTTATATAATATATTAGCTGGTGGCATGCCCGATTAAACATCGCATCCGGGTCCTGTGTGGCCTGAGCACAGTTGCGGATACAAACTGTTAAACAAGTGCCAAACGTACCCATGGCTACCTGCATTCCAATGCAGCGTAATTGACATGGCATTCATAAAGGTCATTAGAAATTTTGCTACGGTTTCGTTCTGCAGTTGCGGTACTGAAAACACTTTTGCGACTGCTTCACCGCAAAAGTGCATAAAAACGGGTAAGCTTCTTAGACACGGAACCAGTTATTCAACATACGGTGAAAACTACATACTGTTGAAAAGACTCAGAATATACCGTATGTAGCTGTATGGAATATACCGTATGTAATTTGCTAGTAATGTCCAGATAAGTAGAGCCTTAATTTAATTCAATACACCCTCCCGGTACAACTGCAAGATAGATATCTGGGTAAAATTTTACACGGAGTCGGATCGGGCCGATGCGTTATCGCCGACGATGGGCCAGAATAATAAATATTTGTCCTATGACAAACCTCATTGCCAGTTTAACGTCGATAACACGGCATGAATCGTTAATTTAATAGGCGAAGAATTCTACGTGACCCACCTACAAGTTTCTTAAAAGCGGGAACGTTTGATGAAAACGTCAGTTGTTAGTGTCTGGACTGAGAGGAATAATATCAGTACCCAGATTAACCGGCACCGCAGTTAGATTGTCATAATGATTTTTGCAACGTGCCGCCAAGGTGGATAACAAGCGGATACTCTGTTCTGACAAGTTAACCATAGACCACTCTGCGTCGCGTTTCGTGTCGTAAAACTCGATTTCGAGCGCGTGCTCTCTCGCAGAATGTCGACCGCCGCAGACGTATATACGGTCTTTAATAACGCAAGCCGCGTGGTCATATCTCGGCCGTCCAAGAGGTTGAACGTCTTCCCAGACAGAAGTGTCCAGGTTCAGTCGAATGCAGCCCGCTGTAGGAGTAATTCCGTGCGCCTCAGCGACTTCCCCACCCACGATATAAAGGCATCGTTTCACAACGACCATTGCAAATTTATCACGCCTTTTCGGCAAATCTGGTAAAGATATCCATTCATCGGCAACCGTATTATACTGATGCATGGTTATGCTACCATACCGGTTCATTCCGGGAAATGCCGCATAAAATATTTGTTCGTTATATTTTGTGACCGTCTGAATGTATCCGAGGTTACCATCGCTGCAAGAAAATAGACACTCCATGACATTTTTATAAAATTAAACGTACTGATGTACAGATTTTTTACTCGCAACGAGTATTTATTGTAAGTGCCGGAAGGTTCTGCAAAAGTTTGTAGCAGAACTACTGTAGTTATGACTTTAAAACAATTATATAAAACTGGTTGAATGCCTACCTAGCTATTGCAGGAGGGTCCTTTAGACGTACAACATTGCCAGTAAAAATATCGATCTCTTGAAAGGAATCAAAGTAGTCCCAGATATAAAGTTTTTGGTTCACCACGATCGGGTGCATGTGAAAAAATATGTCCACAGAAGGCGTCAGCTCACGACACGTTCCATTTCCCACATTCCAGAAAGTGAATTTCCCGTAAATATTTTCAAAGCGATCTATTCCTTCAGTTAAAACTATTTCCGTGTCCGTCGCTGCTAACTGTAGCCAGTAACGCGACATCAGACCTGAGGGGGTCGGTTTGCTTAGTGCGTCTTCAGCACAGAAGGAGCTAACTGCGGGATCGAATACCATAGATTGTCGAACGTCATTGCCACAGTAAAGAAGAAACACGATGACCTCTTTTTTTTCCAGCTCATGCAGCAGCTTTTTGGCCGATATTCTGTTGGCACTAACTGGGTCCAAGCAATTACGGATGAGACCTGCTGTATTTTCTTCAATTTCATCGCTGATAAAGGGCACGAAACCGTCGATAATCAGCCTGGCGTATCGGAGATTCTTTTGGTTGCCTGCACCATCTACAACTTCCCCATCTTTAGTAAGTCGATTTTTAGGTAACCGATTAAAACTTTCATCTATTTCCAGCATGATGCAACCTAAACTCCAAATATCCGTTTTTCTGCCCGGTGCCTCTGTTCCTTCTTGAGAAAATTTCTTGAGCATTTCTGGCGACATGTAGCGCGTCGTACCGCGCAACTGCGAAATGTCTGCCGAACACGTTGAGATTTCGCGCATTTGTACTAAGTCGTCCAAATCACCAATCAGAAGCGTTTCATGACCATCATCTGATATGTGCACTAGAATATTTTCTGGTTTTAAGTCGCCATGAATTATGCCATTTTGATGCAGGTATTCCAATCCTCGAACGATGTTGGTTGCGAACTGTATAAGCTTGGTACCATCATGCAGACGGTTTTCGGTTTTCTCAGTTTCTTTCAGAAAAGAAGCAAGATCACCTAAAAATATGTTTTGATGTAACACCCATTTGCATAGAGTGATGATAATTGTCTTAAAGAAGCAGATTAATATAGCAATTCAAAATCAAAATTCTAATTCAGAAAGGCATTCAGTTTTCATTAATTTTTACCTTGGTGGTATTTCATTGCAAGCTCAATGGTGGTTCCGCCGGAAGCTTTAGTGATAGATACCTTGTGATAAACCACGAGATTCTCATGAACCAGTTCAGTAAGCTTGCGCAGTCGTTGTGCGGCTTCCACCCAGTTGTCATGGTCAGGCAGAGCCTAAAATAGCGTCAATTATTAGACACAAGTGTCAATCTTTAAAAAATTGTGTCAAACTTTACGGAAAAAACTGTCAATCTTTTGAAAGTTGAAAAATGCAGTAAAAAAGACGAGGGGGTCTGCGATTTAAAAAAAATTGGCATGAGGAGAAACAGGAGGACAAACCTGTATGTTCCTGAAGCGAGAAATTTTACGGCAGTACGCAATGAAATTGTGCAGAGTCTAATAAATTTCTTGGAAGAGCGTATGGAGATCGATTCACTTCTGGTAACCGACGTGGCTCCATTGCAAAAATTCAATGTCGACATTCCGAGCCCTTTGCTGACCGCAACGCATGCTCGTGTTGCACCGGATCTCGCTTTAGAAGAATTCGCAGCATCTTACCGCGAACTGGCGCGCAAGTTTCCTGGGATAGGAATACGAGAAGCGCTCAGTGTTTGCGCATCGCACCCAGAATGGCACACTTTAAGTACTTCACTGGCCCGCGTTGTAGCGGCAACACCGCATTCGTGCGACGTTGAGCGTCTGATATCCACGTACAACCTTTCCAAAGATTCGTTGCGCTCTACCGTGAGTGACAAGACTCAGCGAAACTACTTATACGTCCAGGTTAACATGCCGCCCCTTGCTGAGTTCGATGTGCGTCCTGCGGTAAGGCTTTGGCTAGAAGAGAAGGACCGGCGCCCAAGGACTAAACCACCGACTAAAGACGCTGACTATTTTAATGGAGTGTTCCGTTAGTTTTCATGTTGCGTCTGACTTACTAATTTGTTACAGATTTATGTTGTCTCAGGTCATTCAGTTGGCTAATTTTTCATACAGCTCTGTTTGTTAAAATCTCATTTCCCTTAATAGTACAGTAATACAATAAAACGGGTCTCGTTGCGGTAACACTATGTTACGGTAACCTTTGCGTTTGGTACTCACAATATACTCATTCAAAAATGTTTCTGCATGCTTTCGAGTTTCCTAGTTGAAAAATTATTGTCCCCCCTGGCCCCCCAGCCCACCCCCCAGGGGGGCGTCAATCTTTAAAATTCCACTATTTTAGGCTCTGTCCAGGTCAGGAGCAGTTTCGACATAGCCGATATGTACCACTTTGACAGCAACAGTATCCTCGCCCATATAATTGCCACGCTTTGTAATTTTGGCTTTGTAAACAACGCCGAACGATCCCCTGCCAATTAAATCAGCATGACGGTAGCGGTATTGCATATTTCGGCCATACTCTTCGGGTTTGCTATCCGCGCTGGAAACCTTGTTCCCCATCTCGATTACATAATCAGTTTATATCCCGACTGAAAAGGGTGCTCATACGTTTAGTTTGACTACATCTCTCGTAAATTTTTAACGTTCTATGTATCCTTGCTTCTTGAATGTACATAGTTCTGATAACCACCTACACATAAGCGTACTGCAGCATTCAGGATAGAGTGAGCGGAATTACGGAGTAATGCTATAATTATCAGTGGCCCGAATGATACTGTTATCGCAAAACACAGATAACCCAACCGCACTTGTAAAGTGTCCTAGCAAATTAATAGTCAATAAAAAAATCCTTGGAGCAAACGGCACGTACGACACGCCAGGAAAATCCAGCAGTTTTAAAACGGTTATAAAAAACGGCAAACTTTCCCACTATTTGAAGCAATACAAATGTGACAAGTTTTTTGTGCACAACACTGTCACGGTTAGTACTTCGGTTGGTTAAGCGCAGTCGTAAGTTTCCCGCGAAATACCGGGTAGTAGCAGTTCTGAATCATCAAAAGCAGCCAGGTACGAGAGAACAACAGCCCAACTGTAGAGTGTTAATGAATCGGCGTTTGTTTTTAAGGAGTGTTTCGGCACTTGAAAGTAGTCGATAATTTTTTTATCTCTGTTTTTTCCATGGATTATGAGAATTGTCTTCTGCTGTACATCACTTCTGTAGACGGCTCTGTTGCTAAGCTGTAATGTGAAATGCAGTGTGAAAAGTGTAAATTCAGTTACCGTTTAGATGTCGAAATGGAAGGACTGACCGTTTCCGGTCCAACAGAAATGGAAGGGCCGGAAACCGTTAGTCTGTCTGGTTATGATCACTGATTAGCGACGGCCAACTCTCTTTGATTTAAGTATTAAAGGTTATTAAGCGCCATCAGTTTAGTTCTTCGGCTGACCTTTAGCTACAGCAAAGATTTAGTCTTATTTCACCACAAATCATCAGCAGAACGCTACAAAACGTTTGTTGACAAACGTTGACGCGGATGGAGGAGTAGGACAGTAAGTAAGTACATCCACATCGGTTTACCTTCAATAAGTAACACGATACAAGCACAAAATAAAGGTGAGTACTCGGTACTCCTCATCACATAAATTGCGTTCCCCGGTGTTTCTGCAAGTTAGTCACTTGCGGCTCTGATTCGGGTGCTATACAGTACTAGTATTAAATTATGGCGTATAGTACGTGTGCGTACAGCACGTACGCACATATACTGACACCTGGGCATAGTCTGATGCTTTTCTCCTTGTATACGCACATCTTTATTTACGCTTCAGCTTTTCCACAATACTTTGCATGAAATAGAATAAAACAGCTTCCACAAAGAGGCGAGCGATCGATAATAGAAAGACTGGCATTGTTGCCTCTTTTCCTTTTCCCACTGGCTGACATCATACTGACGAGCCATCTGAGTCAGCCTGTGACTGCAAGCGGGTGCAGTCACGCTGTTAAGATCGATCAGTTATTGCCGATCAGTGTTTGTTTGCAACTTTGGATAGAAACGCCGTGCAGGTCGTTTTCGAGGTTTCCCGTACACTCTTCCCTTCTATATCACAACTCGTCTTCTATCGACATTCTGTATATTCTCAGCGCTAGTTAGTCGTGTAACCGTTTATATCCGCATCCTGTTTTTTTTTGTTGTGTAGCCAGTGTCTAGCCACAAAAGACAGAGTCATACACTTTGCTTTGGTCGCCCTGTTCTGCGATTTTTTCAATATTCCCGCACGCAGATTGCTAAAACCTAATTTCTCGCACCCTTAGGAAAACGTTCGGCTAAAAACTCTACAGTTTCCAACGGCTTCCCTGTGAAGATGCCATATCCTTTTGAATGTTTTTCGGGCATAAAACGCAGGTGTCCCGGCCAGTGGAACATCAATAATGCTGTGATGGTGAATTTAGTCGGTGATGATTTCTACTTGGCCTATCTACAAGACATCGATGGCGATCTAGTCTTTGTGGATTTCGATTGTACCAAAATCCCGCCTTGGTGGGTACCAGCCGATCGAGTCTATCGACATAATTTATACGGGGAGCGGGCGAAAAATGACTCAAAAGCGACCGATGTTTTTGTGGCTCTGCGCGAAGATGACAACGGTCCGTACATATTCCGTCCGGCCAAGCTATTACGAGATTCCACACTTCGCACAAACTACCTCTGCTGTGTTTCAATAAATATTTCTCAGGATCCAAAGAATCCGTTTCGGGTGGTACATCAGTGGCAACTTTCGAGCGTGCTGCCGAATCAATATACAGACCGTCCAACAAAAATCACGGAAGATCATGTCGAAAAGGTAGTCGTTCGTGTTGACAACATGGGCTTCATGAAACATATTGACGAGTACCACATAACACATCTTCTTGATGTGGGATTTCGTGATGGGTTCAATCCGATCGGCTGGCGGGTATGTCACACGTTTCTAGCCTTTCATAATACCTTCAAGGAGTACTGTACTGGTCGAAGAATGACAGCGCTGGAGCAATGAATATTAATCTTACCATCACCGACATAAATGTGAATTGCAGCGCCTATTCCGACGCTTTTTCCATTCGGAATGGCTATTTTGCCGCAGTATCTGTGGCCAGTTAGCGAGTTGGCTATTTTGCCTCACACTGCGGGTTTTCAGCTCGTCCGCTATTTTACCGCAGTACCCGTATATTCGCATAGCCCCATACCCAGCATTCTGTACGCAAGCGGTGCAGTGCACTTGTACGAAACGGATATTTTGAACTCAGTCGTACAGTGCACTGCGCTGCATTCGTACTGAATGTGGAGATATCCCAATATCTCGAGATATCCCAATATATGCGACCATTTTGTCCCAAGCTGTAGATGGATTTTTTAGGTTTCTTAAGGCTGTGGCTACTGAGCCGCTGTATGCGGCAAAATAGCCTTACCTTAGCCTTTCAATTTCGTATATGTACACCCATTTTTTCGGCTGGCGTATACATATATACCTATACGTATACATATACATACGTATGCGTATACTGATATACATAATAATTATACGAAACTGAAAAGGCTAAGGCTATTTTGCCGCAGTAAGAACAATATAACAATTTCGTATATGTACACTCATTTTTTCTACATATTACAGGCCTTTGACGTCGCTCACAAGGACGATCGGGATCAGCTTTTCGTTCGGTTAACCGGAAGGACGTTGACGTTCATAATAATGCAAGCACCGTGCTTACATGTCTTCTGGAATACGAGGGATCCTGTTATTCTTGCCTGCCAGAAGAGAAAAAAATCTAGAAAGTTCTCGTACCATAATTGTACTTGCTGGAAAAAGGAAATCGCTAAAGATATTTCGTTCGGAATAAACAACTATCTCCGACGGTACTGTTACCGACCGGAAATTGGCAATCCGTTTTCATGCGAAAGCCTTATAGGTAAGACCTAGCCATAAGCACCTGCCCCTGGGTTACTAGATTTCCTTAAGGGAAATATGAAGAGGGCACAGCGAAAGAGTTAACACCCGATTGTTCCGGTGGTTGCTTTTTCGACAGCGAATTTACCAACTCCTGGATAAAAATGCCATGCGGCATGTGTACTTTATGAAGAACTGAAAACGTAATATCATTATACAAACCACTTCTGATAAAATGGCTACCGGGATAAAATTAAGATAGAGACATTCTCACGGAAGAGAGGATCCAGGAGGGACGTCATATTGTTAATTCCGTAACTAACAAAATCCATAATTGTATTAGTCTTGATAGAGTATAATAGAGGGTTGTGTTGTAGAAGAAGTTCCATCGCTTGGCAGTATACCGTTTGAAGTTCAGTCCACCGTTTTGCAGTATTTGGATGTTCATTCGCAGGCGGCAGCAAAACGGTGAGTGACCATCAGGTCTAAAGAATCCAATTAACATTATTATTAACTTAATTACTGGAATCTATGGGGGCAAGGATTTACCGTGCCTTTTTACCACTTTTTACCAAGGACAATCGGTTCCTCGTTGTGCCATAGGCCCATACAGCATACGCAAAGCACGCACTCCTAAATCAGAAACTGACTCAACTTGACTAAGCTCAATGATAAAATCGAAATAATACTGGAGAAGGAATAAAGATATTGCGCTTTTAAGGCGGCAGCACGTACAAACTATCTGTAGATGCAACATTCTAATAACTCTAGCAGCCTATCACTTGTTGCAGAGTATGCTCTCTGTGGAACGCCTTAGTGCCTGATCCAGCATCCGCTGCGACTGTCACGGTTGATTTTTCCCGGATCAGTGACACCTTGCCCGGATTGTTGGAAACAGAGGGATACCGTACTGCGCATCTGTTACACCGCGTGGTCAGCCAGAAAACTAAAGGGTTAACGCTGCTGCACCTGGATCACCGCACAGACTGTATAACGGCGCTGGTTTCATGCATCAAAGAACTACTCGCTCTGAAACAAACAACGATCTTTCTGATCTCCGTCAGATACTGCCGGATGCCATTTGAAAGCCGTCGAGTGGGTTGTAGCAACCCTGACGAGCCGATTCACGGAAAAATATTGTTCCAACTGCTTCCCCTAAAACAGCTCTGTCGGCATCTGCGGATTCAGCACCTAGTTATGGATTTTTCCTTGTGTAATATACGACCACGTACATTTTTTATGAAAAAGATCAGGGATGAATGTGAAAAAACTTGCAACCTGATGATCGTAATTCCCGTAATGGACGTCGAAAACGACGATGAAAATGCAAACGTTAAATCCTTTAAGCGAGCACTGGAGGCATGCTGTCCAACCGTTGACAATGCCACCAAGAAACGTATTAGAAAGCTGCATACTCGCTGGCTGCGTACTATCCCGTATCCCAATGAGCAGTGGACTGGTTTACGACGACTACTCGAACTGTAAGTATGCGATTCGATGTTCGAATCAAATGCCAAAAACTTCGGTACGCTTGCATATTGCACTCTATTGAATTATACAAAAGCTTGATTTCTGTTTGCATGGCACATGTATGTTATCATTGCATATTGCAGTTTTGGAGTGCTGGAATGGGGTAACACTGATGAAACGGAAGCGTGGGAAAACTTGGACTTGCGCAACTTCGACAATATTCCCTTTGGTAATCTTCAGTTGTCAATTCTTGCCCATTTCTACCTAAACTGACTACAGGCCATGCGTTTCTTCGACGGCAGTGGGTCCCCTTCTTTTTTGGCAAGTGTTTTCTTAAGTTCTTTTTAATAAATGCTTATTCTGATGCTATTTTTTTATTTAAGCTTTGACGGCATTAATATAATTTTGGCCATACCTAAAATTACATATGAAAATTGCTGGTTCAGTCCGAAAGAGCTGTTATAAACGAATTGAGATGTTTTTGTACTTTGTAAAATGATAACGGCTGGCATGCATCTATTATTTTAATCGAAGAATAAGAAGACCTGGTTGCAACAATTTTGTTTTAGACTTGAATTCTGCAATTCAGACTTACCCAATGTTGGGAAACATAAAACTACTGGGTCAAGAATTGTACCTATGTTGCAAGGGAGAGGACATCATAACACGGACATCCGATCCATGCTGGTTCTACTGAATTATTTACTGACTAACCATTGGGGAGTATTTATCGCATTTGTTTGCCATCGGTCGCAAGATAGCAGTAAACAACGGCAGTGCTTTTGGCTTTATGCCTTCTACAGAAATGTACAATGAACTATCCACACCCATTAATGATAATTCGTTGAAGACAATTGTATAATACGTAAAAACATTAACTTTGTCGAATCATCTCGTCCAAACATCCAAGTAAGTTTTATGGAATGCCCTCCGGTCAAAGCTTCTGACCTCCTAGATTCAAGAAATATCTTTATTTCACAGCTAGGCTGGCGTAAAAATGAACCATAAATCAAATTAGATAAATCTCTAACCAATAGGAAAATGAAATTATGTGTACTCTGAGTGAATACGCATGGTCATTATATGTCAGTGGCGGGCATACCTAAGGCTTCTTCTTCTTGTCTTGATCTTTTTCCCAAGGCTTTCCGTGTGTCTGGCGCAAAAGCTTTATTCCCTTTTCAAATTCCTTTTCACTCATCTCCTTTTCACTTTGTACAGGCACGGTAAAGATGATTAGCAGCGCGCACATCATTCCCATAAACAATATCCACGTAAAGCGCATTCTTCAAAGCTGTTAAACGGTTGTATAACACGAACTTGCGGTGAAAATTTAAGCAAAATGTCAGTTAAGCGCAGATGCAAGTCGTTTAAATGATGCCTAATATTGTACTGATTTTATTTGCGATGTCGTCGTATAAAAAACAATGAAGCTGAAAGCAGCCTGCGGCGAATAAAAAATTCGCGGTGTTTTGCAAAAAAACATAAATGTTTTTGCAGTTGCAAAAAAGCGGAATTTTCCGCAAAAAATAGATGAGTTAAGCAGTGTAATAATATAAACAGTGCATGTTTATATTATTACGTTATGTCACACTGATGACAGCGTCCGGGGTTATGGCCAACATTTTGACATGATTTTGTCCAGCCGAATAAATAAATGCTTCGAACGGCTGTAGAAAGTTTATTTTGGCCGCTTTTCCAGCTGTATTCTGTAAAGTGCAAAGCGTAGACTAAAAGGGCCAATTGGAACGACACACCGGCAGCACCGGCAACAATTTCGCCAATTTAATTTAATGTTAATGTTTGCAGTGCATAAACCCCGCTATCATTGAAAAAAAGCAACATATACATACCAAAGGTTGTTCAGTAATTCTTTGTAGTAACGACCTAGGTTTATTTTGCAAGTTTCGACCCGTTACTAACGGGTCGAAACTTACAAAACGGACCTGAAGTTAAAGCAAAATAAACCTCTTTAAAAAAATGAAAGGTTCTACGTTGCGCACCAAACTCAAAACCATGAAAAGCCAAAACATGTAACCAGAAGTCGAACTCAAAGTTTTTTTTATTGATTTTTATTTTATATTATTGATTTTTTGATTTATTACTAGACACGAACATTACTTGACTAAGATATTGACTGTACTTTGGACTCCACGGTTACTCAGTCATGTGGTTATCCATTTTTTCTACAATTATTGATCTAAACTACTAGGTAGTTGTATTAGATGCGTTGTATTTTGGACGGGATTTTATGTACCGATGCCACACTAACACTCCGGCCATTCCGTTGTGGAGCAAAATCGAAGTGTGGATGAACCATATCGTTCCGCTGATTTTCATCAACGTGACCTCTGTGTTTCTGGTGTATAAACTTGCCGAACGGAACCACCGTGTTGTAGGGGATGCAGCAATCCATGATACGCACGGCACGTCGGTTGATGGAAACGGTGCGGCGAAGAAAATTCTAGTCAGGAGGTTCCCGAGAAAGGAAGCGGTAAACCGTAAAACCTTTCCTGATTCTCACGTTTGCGGTGATCAGCATCACAATATGCTTGATACCGGCAGCCGTGTATTTTGCCGCAGCAATTTATGCTAGAATGTGGCTGCCGAAGAAACACTTTGTTCTGGCCATTTCGTTGGATCTGTAATCCCTGCAGATTGCAGATGTTGTTTGATCCCTTATTACGATTGTATTTTGTTGCGGCCTGTACGTTGGCCTGGCAAAAGGTTTGTCCGTAACCAGACGAAAGGTGACGTAGATTTGGCGCTAAGGCTGCTCTGCTTCTCCTGCAACACTCCGCAATGAATTACTACCGTACATATTCTCGTTGAGCGTTCTGTTGTAAATGTAACAACCGAAAAAGTGCTTCTGTTTTGCTTGTGATGTTATAAACTGCACTGAAATTCCTGTATTTCGGATAGAATCACAATTCCGTCAGTTCGAATGCAGTAATACAGTAATCCTGCACTCCTTTGGTCCATGTTTTCCAACAGCTATCTTTATTCAGCGCTCTGCGCGTGAGGTCTAACAGAAACGATAACTTACGCAGTAGAAAATTAATTTTGGACAGTATCAGCTTTTCTGTTACAATTATAATTGTGGAGGTTAATTTTCTTCCGTGTTGAAGCAATAGTAAAATCAAAATCAACTCTGTTAGAACAAGTACTTACAGTGTGATTGCCAGAGGCGCTTTTTACATCAAACGAAATCGCTAAAAGTTCAAGAACTCTGAAGAACAAAGAGAGATAGCATTGCCATTATCAAAGTACATATGCAACTGTTTCTTTGTATTTTTTTATATGTATTTTAGTGTGACCTGTTGGCTGCCTCTATCAAACAACCGATTCGATTTCCACTCGGCAGTATCCTTCGTTATTGGTGTCTGATGAGGTGTCTTCTCTGCGATTTCTCGAATCGATTGATTGTGCACCGCCCATCCCACTCTCAGCCCGTGATGGTAAAACGGTGAGCAGGAGCTTCGATCGACGCAGTCTGTTTGTCACGGCACGAGCATTTGTTACTCGATGATAAGCACACATTCACAATTAATAACATGAAGATTCTCTTCACATCGTTTCTCTTTCTGCAAATGCTTCTTGCATCGTTTTTTCTCTTGTAATCTTGTAAGAAATGCCAGTAATTTGTGCATACTTTACGGGTGGAAGACGCATGCGCAAAGACTGTTTTAACGTGCAAAATCCAGTCTTGGTCCATGTAACTGATAGCTTGTTTTACCTTGGATATCTTCAGGATGTCGATGGCGACAATTTCTTCGTCGATTTCGACTGCAGTACGATTCCGGCATGGTGGATACCGGCATGGCGTGTGTGGTTCTACAACATTAACGTGCACTGCGGTCCTTTTAACGGCGAGTCAGACATGTTTGTAGCGTTGCGCAGTAACCCAAACGGGCCGTACATTTTCCGTTCGGCTGAATTGTTATACCACAATTACAATTTATTTCTGTGCCGTGTTACCGATTCGCTGGAGAATCTCAACGCTAGCTCCCTGCATCTCGTGCATCGCTGGCAGATTGTTAGGCACTTACCGTTTTTACGATTATTGCCACACAAAACTTGTCTTGGCACCATGGATGTCGAAAAGTTCGTGATTCGACTGGAAAATTTGCAAGTTATCGCAGGGATCGATGAAGACGTTATTTGCGCTCTGACGCAGATGGCTTATCGTAGTGCTGGCAGCAGTCCATTTGCAGATGAGTTTATGGATCGAATCTTTGTGCGAATTAAGGAGAACGAAATAATATTTCTTATTGCCCATGGAGGATGCTTTCATCCTCTACGACCGGAATATTACTTCGCGCGCTTCACTCGCACTGATGCGGTACAGTGCAAAAGTTCAAAGCCTGTTCAACGATTTTTAACCGGCTTCAAGAGACATCTTGTTATCCGCTGTGGCAAGGAGAAATTTCTCCGCACTGTTCCACCGACAACAGCAGGTACCTACTCAGTAGGAGAATTCTGTCCCATAATACCGATTAACTGAAACTCCAACGAGTCTTTTTTCAAATTTACAACCAAAGGTAGCGTGCGAAAATGTGTAGTGGAGTAAAAGATTTGGGTCCGCGTGACACACTACGCCTGCAAAAAAATGCTATTGCCTAGGGAAGTTTTCGTCTGTACAGTGTGCAGTAAATGTGTGCACGTAAATCCCGACTCGGGATTTGCCACATATTAATTATAACTGAATTTTTGTTCAGCTCATTCGACGGAAAAATCTGTATCCCAAATTGTAACACAAAATTGTGCTTAGTTATTTTTGTGTAAACAGTGAATCATGGTGTTTGGTGCATGTATAACGGATGCAGTTCGCGTACCACCGTTTGAATCTTACCTGCAGATGAAGCTGAATGTCTATTGAATTGTATTTCAATCGACGTCGCAAAGGAAACCCTGGTTTATTTGGACATCCGTTCCCAGATTGTGGCAAAAAGGTGAGAATTTTGTTATACTAGAAAAATGCGCGCTGCAGTGCGTCAGCAGACCGGAGCGCAGCGGCTCAACACGTTGATTAGATTCAGGTTGAATAAGCGGTTTTTCACAGTTTTGTTATGCCATTGATGGAATTTTGCAGCAGACAGGCATCAGCAGCAGCACTGCATTTCTGCCGGCATACAGCCAGGCAAAGTCGCAGTATATGTCCTGGGTGACGCTGCTGGAGCCTTCCGTAGCAGACAGACCTGCTTCTGCTTTTTGGTATAGTTAGAGGACCTTCGCTGCGCTCCTGTCGATAATGTCACCCTAGTTTGATTGAACGTGATTCAGTTTCGCTATACATACACTGGCTGCCCTTGGTTATAGAGTGTGCCCGTTGTGGAACTTGTTACTGTCGGAAAGCAGTTGGCCAGCATGCGTGACAATTGACTTTAGTGGCATACCGCCATTCGACCAACCCGTCAAACGATACCACTACGGATTTGTGCTGACCCACGCCATCAGCCGTGCCCCCAAAATCTTGTCACTGATTAATCTGAGCCATGTCACT